TTGCTGCGGAAATGTGGGTGAGCCTTTTCTTGTTGTCCATCATCAATATCTCGAGCCCCCAAGGGTGACTGGGGAATAGAAGTATGGTCACCATTGGTCTTCCTCCGACCGGCAGTAAAACCCTTGCTAAAGTGGGGCGTCCGTTTGGCTGTGCGGGATGTACAAATTTGCAGCCACGTCCGGTCAGAATGGGGACGTTAAATCCGATGCCTCGTGTAAGGAGAGTGCCACGCTCTTTGCACGTTAAGAACCCTTGCAACAACTCTTTGAGGGGTCCGTAGGTGACCTGTTGCAAGGCTAAATTTCTGTCCCTATCCAATATACCCTCATTTCCCGTGGCAGTCTAAATTTCTCCGACCTTAATCCCGGACGCCCCTCTTGCAGAACCTACTTATTGTATTTATTGTTAATTTGTTCTCGTCCTGAATATGCATGAAATATTTGCCACTGGACGTTAAGCAACCAACAATCAATCAATAAATATCTCGAACCATCTCCACTCGAGCATTTACATACCATTTGACATTTTTTTGTTTCTTTTGCCGAGATACTATTATTTCTTCAACATCAGTTTTCGTATTAGCCAAAAAACGTAATAAATCATATTTTTCATCACCAATAGGCATAAGGTCCACACGATTCACTGATTTGTTAATGGCGCTTTTCTTAAAACGAAACCGTTTACGTTTTATCTGACTGACAACTGGCTCCTCCGTTTTAGGCATTCTACCTCCTGTTTGGTTTAACGGATGATGGTTGGCAACATGGATGAATAAAGAATCAACTTCATCAAAGGAGACATCAAAGCGTCTACATGTAAGTTGCTTAGATAATTGTTTATCTCGTTTGTTTATTGTGTGCTGTCCAGAACACTTATTACCATGTTTGACTAAATTATGTTTTTGCGTAAACGATTTCCCACACGCTAAACACTGAATTCTGTTAAAATGTGAATTCATATGTCTGTTCAAATTTCTGTTGTATTTGAAAGTTTTATCACAAATATCACAATTTAACTTTGGTCTTTTGACATCAACATTTTCAGCACATGATTTCTTACGTTTGAGTTTATTCTCAACCTCTATGGCTGCCTTCACCAACATACCATCATCAGATTCGTCAAAATGTAAATCATTGGTATGAACACCGCGGTGAGCCATGCTTTTCACTTTACACAAAATGATAACAACTACCTAATTTCCTCAATTTAAATACACGTGACGATGTCACATGACATCTAAATTCGAAACGATTACCATTTCATCTTTGGTTTTTGTTTACTTTTCTCTTGCAACATTGTTTTAAGGAGCATAGCGATATATGGTTTACTTTCCTCGTGTTGTGTAATTTTTCTCTTTTTGTTTGACTTCTTCAATTTTTCAGGTTGAAAGTCCTCTACTAACTGTTTACTTTCCAAGTCATCGATATTTTCTGGTTTATCTTTCGGCTGATCTTGATCTCGATTTTCTCGGCAATGTCTCTAGATTTTTTAATTGTTCATACCTCAGTTTAGGAATCAGAATCAGTTCGCGAGACATAACGGAGATATGTCTTTAGGAAAATAGGAAGCAGTCCACTTATTTTTAATAAATATAATTTTCTCTGTTTATATGCTGCTCCTTTGGAAACAATTTTACGTATGAGCTTCTTTTTCTTGGCCAGCAAAGTTTTATCAACACTTGAAATGGAGCAAACTCCTTGCATCACATTGTATATTATTTCAACCAACCATTCCAACTGTTCCTTGCTTAGTGATTTAATCGCTTGAGAAATTTGTTTTGCAGTAGCATTCAAAAGAAAATGTGCTAAAAGTCCTTCATTCTGCAGAGTGATATACGATAGGTGTCTGTCCAACTCCACGATCTGTTGTCAATTGATATGTTTTGTCTGTATGTGGATTTAAATCAATAATTAATGGGCGATAGGCTACAGATGTCGCCTTCTTGTATGCATCTAAAAAGTATTTAGACTGTCCGGGAAAAATCTGCCTACCAAGAGTTTGAATTTGTAACTGATCTCTATAATTCCGAAATAAAACAAAGTAATGGCAATTGAGGGAGGCTGTTCTCATAGCTTTGCCTTTACAATACAAGTTATGTAGAATCTCAATCAAAGTGATTGAATTATGGTGAATTCCTACAGTTAAGAGATGAACCAGTTCTTTACTATCTGCAGATTCCACCATCAGGTCATCTTAAACAAGAACCTTATGCCCTTGTAAAGTCCCCCATTCTGATAAAACATCCATATGGGGGAAACCTTGAAAAAATTCAATGTTTGGTATTGCTGATTTCATTTCATCGAAAACTGACTGCCAAATACTGTAACAGTAAAATATCTTCGACGGTGGTACTTGAAACATACCATCTGCATTTTCAAGAAGGTTTTTGGTGTACATTGTTTTTCCTGAATTTGACGGACCAACAATGAATATTGATGTTGGACTCTGAAATTTGAGCAAACTTTCCTTCTCCCACCAGTCAACCATACTGTTCAAGTGAAATAATAAAAATAGCTGAGAGACAAACTGTTTTATATGTTAAAAAAAAAAGAGGCAACAACAACAACAATAACATATAAGCATTAATTCTTTATTTTGATACAAGATTGATTCACAACATTACACACATTGTTTACACAGCAATGAAACCGATTGTCTATAAAACTGTACACACAATTGTCATTCAATTGATAGTCTTCTGAAAACACATCTGTTATCTGTTGCATGGAAAATCCTCTCACACGACACATTAAATAAAACAAACAATATTGCCCACACACAACTGTGTCATCACCTTGTAGTCTTTTCTCGTTTGATTGTATGTATGCATAATTCCGCATGAATTTGTTAAAATAAACAGTGAGTTCTTTTTCTGAATACCCAAAAGAGTCAAATACTTCAAGACTGTTCTTTCTATTACAGAAAAATGCTACCCAATGTCTTCCTGGTAAGCCTGCGACATCTGTATTGGCTATCACACCCATTCCTGGTAGTAGGTGAACTTGAGACAGTTCATCAGATGAGAATACACCAAGAACAGATCGTTGTAAGTCAACGTCTGAAACAATGGCACACTTGAGCTGATAAAAATGATGTTTCTTTCTAAATTTATTTCAAAATAAGCTGGAAACTCCGCATACACAACACACGTGGACGCTTTCGGCAGTGGTGCATTGAAATTGACTTCTAGAGAACAAGTTCCTTGTTTCACTAAGTTTAAGTACTGTCCCTCGTCGCTGAAATTTGGTTCTATTTCAAAACAATATAAAGCATTTCCTCCTGCTATATCATTTCTACTCAACTGATTTCCACTGTCTCTCATCCACTTGTTAGTCACTTCAAACATACTATTAAAAGCAGGTAGTATAGTTCGACTCGTGGCTCCATAGTTTAACTGCATAATATTCCCACCTACAGGAACTTGGTTCAGTTTGAGCATTATTTGACTAAGGTTGAAATGTTGAGAAAGTTGAATGGATTTAACGTATATGAACCACTAGAACTAGCGGACTCTGTAAAAGCTATAACGCAACGAGTCGGTCGGAGTCCGTTGAACAAATTATTGTAATTGAAACTAAGACTCCCAGCAGGTATAGAAATAAGGCGCACTTCTGTTCTGGTATAGGGATATCTAGCATTTGTTGTTTGTAGTTTCTGCGCATGTGCCATAATGACAGCAGGGTTTAAACGTATTTTGCACACTTTTAACACTATGTCATCGATGATGACTTGAAAATTTGGATCTTTTTCACTTGTCATCAAAGCAAACTCAGGTCTTGAACGGTAAAGTTTAACATTAATAGCTACTTGATTCAGCATGTATCTGTCAAGACTACATAAATCATGAAATAACGGACCTTCTAAATCACACACTTGACTTTGAGTAAAATACTGTGCGCGATCGAATAAGGAAGAATTGCCACCATTTTCTACATTACTATCATCAAAATGTCCTGGTTGATCTTTTTTCCATAACTGGCTAGTCAGCTGAGATTTTTTTGCTTCAGATCCAAAAGATAAAAGAGTTTGTATCATTGCCTTGTATGGATAATGTGTGGTAGTTGATGTCACCAACTTATTTTGTAATGTTATATCAATCTGTGAGAACATAGAATGTAGAAAATTGTTAACTGGACCAACATACTCAGTAGGTTTTAGACTGTCTCCATTGATATGTTTTATTCTCGCTTTTACATATAATTTTGTTTTTCTCAAATCTATATACTCCAGTGAATTTTGGGCTGCAATGTTAAATTCTACTGGTGCAGTTCCAGTTAGCTGTGCTGTTGACCTATGCTCATCATAATACACTGAATCAATCGCTGTCTGTGTTGGTGGTAATGAAAACAGATCCAAACCACTTGGTTGAGCTTCTTGGAACCCATCTAACGATAAAGCAGCCATTTACTTGAATATGTCTTTGAAGGTTTTCACAGAGCTTTGCAGTTTTTTCTTGTTGTTTTTGTTTTTCGTATGTCTCTTCTTGTTTGATGCTTTGGTTGTCTTTCTTGACTTTTTGTGCTTAGTCAACTTTTTGGTGGTTTTACTGGGCTTTTTGGAGGTCTCGTTCGTTCGACGTCTTTTGGAAGAACTGGCATCATAACTAGATGGCTTTCTTTTTAATGTCTTTTTCTCTCTTTCAACCATGTCCTTGGACATTTCATCCGTTTGATGGACAGGGGAGACAAGTTGAATTTTTACTTTCTCATCAGAAGGGGTTTTGGTTGGTATGCCGATTGGTGTAATGGATGACCTTGAGGTTCCAGTTAGAGACCCACCTCCGATTTGTTTTTGACCTTTGTTAGTATTGTGATGACCTTTTCTGTCTAGCTTCTCATAATAATTAATCCAGCTTCCTACATTTGGCACATACATCTTGTTCATTTTAAAAGAATGGAAACGATTTGAAGTGTAGTGTTACCGTTGCAGGAATATCTAAAAATGAAGTTAGATTGTTGTCACCATCAGTTATATAGACATCAATATTATAGAGGTCATTTATTTTTACAGGAACATAATGCGGAACTTCGAAAATGTTTGACCAGTTTCCCATAGAGGCTGCACTTAACCTTCGAAGAAGTGGCTTTTGTTCTCCATCGACAATAGATTCACCACAAATATTAGAATACAGGTAAATGGATTCTGATTTAGATATGCTACTTGAAATGTCTGCTTCAACTAAGGCAACTCTCCAATTTCCATTTAAAAACACAGGTGAATTCAGTTGAGAAGAAAAAGTATATGCTTTGTTGTTTGGAAAATAGTTCAGAGATTTTTCACTATTGAATGTTATGTAGATGCTCATCTTCAGGAGTCATTTGGATCTGTGATATCCTCTTCATTCAACCACTGATTATATTTATTTGGCCACCCTTCAAACTTAACTAACCACTGAACCCGTCCATTTCTATTACGTTTTCGAAATTTTTTTTCTACATACCACATAACATCTTTGCCCCCAAGGGTGACTGGGGAATAGAAGTATGGTCACCATTGGTCTTCCTCCGACCGGCAGTAAAACCCGTGCTAAAGTGGGGCGTCCGTTTGGCTGTGCGGGATGTACAAATTTGCAGCCACGTCCGGTCAGAATGGGGACGTTAAATCCGATGCCTCGTGTAAAGAGAGTGCCACGCTCTTTGCACGTTAAGAACCCTTGCAACAACTCTTTGAGGGGTCCGTAGGTGACCTGTTGCAAGGCTAAATTTCTGTCCTTATCCAATATACCCTCATTTCCCGTGGCAGTCTAAATTTCTCCGACCTTAATCCCTTAATCTATTACAGAACCTACCTATTGTATTTATTGTGAACTTGTTCTCGTCCTGAATATGCATGAAATATTTGCCACTGGACGTTAAGCAACCAACAATCAATCAATCATAACATCTTCATCCTTGTTCACTTTAACCATCTCTGATTCATAAAATAATCCTTTTATGGAAGTTCCATCATACTCCTTTATTCTATAAACCGGTATAGCCTGCATTCGAAATCTTTGGCTAACTTTAAAAATTTCTCTTGTGAAATGTTCATCATATGAACGGTCAAATAGCATAGAAATGTAAGAAATACGAACGAAGTCATTAGCCTTAAAGTGGTATGATCGAGGCTTTTTTGATGTTATTTTCTTTGGTTTTAAATACATATATGCCCATATATCTGCTTCGTTTGTTTTGCTGACGTCTTTTGGTTGGATATTGTTCAAGCTTCTATGTGGAGTAGAATTGTATACTTTAACAATATCTTGAAGTACATCCAAGTACCTATGATTTCTCCTCTCTGTGAAGTATCGATACATCATATTTTTCACAGTCTTGATAACTCTTTCAGCGTAGTTAGCCTTTGTTTCTGAATTCTGTGTAGTGAAATATTGTATACCTTCATTTTTCAGATATGATTTCATTATGTTGTTGTTAAATTCTTTTCCTTTATCAGTTCGAATCTTTTTACATTTTCTGTTACCAGCTAAAATTTTCTTCATTGCCTCGACTACAACTTTTGCTGATTTATTTTTCAGAACCTGAATCCACAGATACTTTGAAAAGATATCCACGACGACTAATAGGTATCGAAACTGACCGTTTTCACTTGCAATGTTTGACATATCAGCGAGGTCCATGTCCCACTGATCATCAATTCCAGATACAATTACACGTGTACGACGAAAAGAATGACGGAGTTCCTTTCTTAAAGTGTAACTGTCTTGACTTCGTAATAGTCTTTTTATCCTGGATCGTCCAACATTAGTGATTCCTTTGGATTTTAATATTCTGTATATTTTTTCGGGACATACATGTGTGTTTTTATATGTGTTTGATATTAAATCATTTATTCTATCTTGTGTGTTCATCTTGGATTTTTTTTCATTCTATGAAAGGTAAGACCTGTTCCCTTTGTATTTAAGGCTGATAGTCTTGGTTTGGTATTTCTACTGAAGTAAAGTTTTGAAAGCGAGAAGGAATTTAAATTTTACTGATACTTTCTTCAATTGAGATACCTAACCAATATGCACTTTGTAAAAATATAATAAAGAGACAAAAAACAAAATACAAGTAACTAACTTTTATTGAAATATCATTAGAAACAGTTCAAGCATCTCATTGTTCGTCTAGTAAATGCAACAGAGGCTTAATCAGGAGTGGTATTAATTTGTGATACACTAACAGTGCTCGTCTTTTCCTGCTTACACTAATTCTCCCACTGGCTAAAAACTGAATAGTTTTCCGAAACTCTCGAAGTTATCGTCTATGTACTATACTAATCATAAGTGTTACATGATAAATTTTATATGCAATGTGTGAAATGGTTCGAATTTGATCATCGGAACTCTCCTCAATCAATTCTTTTCTTCTTCGGGGTCTATCATAGTAAAGTTCTTTCAGGAAGGTTGAGTTTTCAAAAATACGTCTGTTCATGATGAGTGTTTCACATCAAATGATAACCAATGTTAATGATCGGTGTGTTTTAAATTAATTTAATTCGTTTGTGAATCTTTCTTCCAACAACACCAATCGTTTGCACCAGTGTAACACATTTTTGGTACTTGGTTTATGTAGAATGCACCAATCCTTTAATGTAGATAAAACGTAATTTTTATAGTCATCTGGTACATCCACGAGCTTCACTTGATTGGACATCTTCCTAACCATGTCCTTCTCCGCTATCTGTTTATAAGCAATATCGAAATAAATTTCTAAATGTTCTATTTTTGTCCACATTAAACAAGTGTGTTGAATCTGACTCGGGTGGTTTACTTCACACCCATAACAATGTTCTTTCACAATATCCGGTAAACAGTCTAAGACCATCCTAGCATACAAATATTTAAGTGTGTGATGCATAAGTTTCTCGGCTTTTTCAAATGTTGCATCCATAGTGTCTTCTCTCTACAACAATCAATCTGTAAATGAACGGAATTCGAGGATCTTCTTATAGTGTATCTCAGTCATTACGTAACATTCTTATTTCATAAGTATGTTGGACAAGGTTTTACTAGATACCATCTTTGCAAACAAACAATTTGGATCCCATTTTATATGTTCTGTTTCGATATCGTCTTCTTTAGTCCACTTTTTTAGAGTAATGTCACAATAAGAACATGTCACTCTATCCCCTATATCGGTGTTAAAAAAACCATTATGAGCTAGATCTTCTGGCTTTTGTTTAATCTGATCCGGCCAATTTGTATATGTTTGCATTCTATTTGTGAAATACATCATATTCAGATGGGCTGGTTTGAAACGGAGGATGTCTGAAAAGTAACATCCCGAGTCTGTTTCTAAATCCATGATTAATCAGTAAAGACTAACATTTACTTATATACCAGCACCACCTGAAGTCTCTACAATTTGTATAATTAAATCGTACTTCCAGTCTTCAACCTTTAATTCAACAATGTCATAAAGCTGCTTTAATTCTATGAATCTACTCAAACCATACTTAAATAATAAGATATATATCTGCCCCTTTTTTGTTGATAACAAAACCTGGTAATGTAACCTCAGAATTTTCATTTTAAAATTATTAACAACATATATCGTCAAAAATAAATATAGTAACGTAAAAAAAATGGATGCCGCTCACTCAAATAACAATTTAGACAAGCAAGGCAACCCAAAATTCTACAACGTGGACAACATGGACGTCATCTCAAACGTACCCTGGTTACCAACCAATGTTGCTCTACCTTGAAAAAGTCAGCAACGTGCAAACAAAAATGGACGACAAACATACCCCTGGTTACCGACCAATGTTGCTCTACCTTGCAACGTGGAAACAAAATGGACGACAAACATAATCTGGTTACCAACCAATGTTGCTCTACCTTGGTCAAAAGTATGACACGTGGACACAAACATTCCACCATCACTAGCACACTATTTACATAAGCTGCTCTACCTGCTCTACCTGCTCTACTGTTTTCTTATCCCTATTCTACTACTACTTGTATTTATTGTTAATTTGTTCTCGTCCGAAATATGCATGAAATATTTGCCACTGGACGTTTTGCAACCAACAATCAATCAATCCTCTTGTTCGTGTACACCATTTTCAAATGTTTTTTTTTCTCTATTTCCTTCTTCATATTACTTAGTAGTTAAATTCCCGAGCACATTGGTTTTAGTTATATTGCGTGTCTATCCTCTTATTAACCTTAGAATGCATTAGGATCTAGGTTGGAAAGTAGGTTATAGCGATACTTACAATTCGTTTAGCGTTGTTAATCCTAGGAATATATTTACATTTAGGTTGTAAAGTTGGTTGTCATGTTACTTACAATTCTTAAAGTCCTGACAGCTGGCCAGGTTCCCGGGTCACAATGGACCATGACTCCTTCCACCAGCTAGGGGTGGTAGTAAGGCGCATCTCGATGAACCGTCGCCGGTCTATCCTCCCTGCCATCCTCCACTGCACCCACCCCGGTCAAGATGGAAATGCGTGTCATATGCACTTGGTGGGGGCCCCAGCTGTGAATGGCCTGTCCACCTGCAACTTCTTTCCTGGAGGGGAGTCGGAGGGGGACCTCAGATGATATATTCCCCCCTCCGCCTGGCCTGCTGGCGCCTCCGTGGCTGCCCTGGGTCCTTGCAATCTGAACATTCCCCTGAAGGCCTCTGCCCTGTCGCCCAGCTCTCCCATAATGACTGATTGGACCCTCCAATCAATGAGGGTCCCAGGAGAATTGACTGGTGCTGTTGAGAAATAGGGGGAACTGGCAGCCCCCCCCCCCCCCCCCCCCCCTTCTACACACACTTCCTCCATCTGCCCATGGACCGCCTGTCCGACGGTGTGGGACTGAGTAATTCCCAGGTGATTGATGTGGGCCACCAACTCATCCAGATCACCGCCTACTAGCATCCATCAAGGCCTGGGCCTGTAGTGCTGCAACCCTGATTGGGGCGAGGGACACCCTTGGTTAGTTTTCATGTATTAGTTTGTGATTAGGTCAGTTTAAGGGGAACCATTAATTAACGGAACAAAATATCTTTACCGATTTAAAAATTCACAAAGAAATAATTTTTTTATGGGTATCGAGTCATGTTGGAATCCATGGAAACACGGTTGTGGACAAGGAAGCAAAAAATGCACTGGATGATCCATTATCTAACTGTGATATACCATATACTGATTTTAGATCTAATATTAGAGAATATGTTTTAATATATTGGAAAATGAATGGAGTAAAATAGATGAACATAAATTATATGAAATTACGTTGATAATCCCTATTCTTTAACATCCTCAACAATATCAAAAATATTTAATAATAGTCTAGTCTGAACAAAATTCTTGAATTTAATATCAATTGGATATTCTGATTGTCTTTAATTTCATTCGAAATAAGATGATTGCTTGATTATTTGTTGTTTGCTTTACGCCCAGTGGCAAATATTTAAGGCATGCTCAGGCGAAAACAAATTAAGAAGAAGTACAATAGGTAGGTCCTGTAATAGGGTTCGTCCGGGATTAAGGGCGAAAAATCTCACCAGAAATAAGGATACGTTTAATAGAGGCAGGCCACCAACAGACCCCCCAAAATGTCGTTGCAAGGGTCATTTTAAGTAACCATTCCGACCGGACGTGGCTGCGTATTTATTCATCCCGCACAGCCAAACCGATGTCCCACTTTAGCAAGGCTTTTTACTGCCGGAACGGGAGGACTACCTAGGGGTGTATTATCTTTAGATTTCCCTCTGACAAAAGTATATGTGATAACACTGACTACTTTTCGAAAGTCCATCGCAAAATATGCAAAATGTAAATTTTTATACTCGACGTCATAATACTAGTATACATTTTGTTAATGTCATAAATTTTTAACAATCAAGTCGGCGTCAAATAATGAAACCACTTAATTTTTGTCTCGCCTTGACGGAGTCAAAAAGCGAGACATAGGTATGCAGATTCCGGCATCGGCGGCGGCGTCAACAATGTATCAGTTTGTGATTAGGTCTAGTTTATGGTGAACCACTAGTGGTAGGTCAATGATATTTGGTATGCAGTTGTATAAGCATTGGCATATCTCATTTCCATGGAAATTATTTGGCCCCGCCCCCTCAGTCATGGTTTATTGATATCGAAACTTTTGCTTAGTTTTCATAGATTAGTTTGTGATAAGGTCAGTTTAAGGAGAACCATTAGTGGTAGGTCAATGATAATTGGTATGCAGTTGTATAAGCATTAGCACATCTCATTTCCATGGAGAATTTTTAGTCCTTACCCCTCAGTCATGGTCTATTGACTTCGAAACTTTTGCCTAGTTTACATGTATTAGTCTGTTATTCGGTCAGTTTAAGATGAACCACGTATGTTAAGTCAATGATATTTGGTATGCAAATGTTTGGAATGTGCAAGTTTCATTTTCATGGAGATTATATAGCCCACCCCTCACCATGGTTCATTGACTTTGACTTTTACAATGTTTGTGTTTAGGTTTGTTTAACGGGAACAACTGGTGTGAAAAGTCAATGTGATTTGGTATGAAGTTATATTAGCATTGGTTCATCTCATTTCCATGGAGACTGTTTAGCCCTGTACCTCCAGTCATGGTTCATTGACTTTGAATATTTGCATAACTTGCATGTTAAAGTATTGTTATTTTAATTTCAACATATGTTCTTATAAAGTTCTTTTTTGCTGTAGTTTTTTCCTTTCCTGCGAACAGCATTCTTTCTTCCATTATGCTGGCCTTATAAATATTTTAAAGACAATTCATTAGTGTATAAAAAGATTGAACTCAGACAAACTGATAATTGTTTTGTTTCATCTGACAAAGGCGTATATACCATGATTTTAAAATATCATCAAAATAACAAAATGGCGAGACATATCTCTGT